GGGCTAAGCATTAGCAGTAAAAACACACAAGTAAAACCTAGGGAGAGGAGAAACTTAATTCTTTTGTGGCACCCTCTTATTGACTGTCAAACTACAGCTCAGATTCCAAGAGGACAGTGGAAAACCAATCATCAAAATCTCCAGGAGCTTGGAAATAAAACATATCATTGGCCTCTGCCTGGTCCTGATATCTGAAATTATCTCTAGACTGCAGGGAGTGCTTTCCCAATCAAGCATCTTATGACATCACACTTTCGAATAGATCAAGTGCTCTGCTTAAACCTCTCCCTGCCCTGGGCACGCTAATGTCAGGGGCGGGGTGGGGGGGTGGGGGTGGCGCGGAAAGAGTTGCGCTGGGCTTGTCTTAGCATGTGAGGAGAGCTACGGGGTTTCGAAAGGGAACTGGAGCAAGGTGCCTGCTGCCAAGCGCGTGGCCCAGAGGCTCTTCCGACAGAAGCAGGTGGTTGCCGCGGCAGCTAGAAAACATGAGGCAAAACATAAAAGCAAAATACCAGTACAGTGAACTTCACCTGCTTGGTCACCTTGTACATGTACCTCCCATAAAGACTTGCAAAGATGAGCAGAAATTAACTTAAAGAACAGTTTTTAACTTTCCAAAGCACTGTATAGGAGTTATTTCTCTCCTTATCCTCTCAATATCCCTGAGATGTAGGACAAGTGATACTATTCACAATGAACAGATAGATGAGAAAACGCAGTGCATCCGTGCCTTGAGACATAGAGCTAAGCAGTGTCAAAGCTGGGCCAAGAATGATCTCCCAGCATACAGAACATCCTCTTTCCGTGAAGATGCTTCAGTAGTGGTGGTGGAGTCTCATGCTACCCGGCTAGCCTAACACAGATAGAACATTAATGGCAAAATAGGTGGGGAAATGAGAGAAGGGACAAAACCCAGCTCAACTGTTCTCTTTGTTTTTTAGTCTGGAAAGCTTCAACTATACACAAGAAGTAGGGAGAACAGTACAATAAATCCCCATGCACCATCCCCCGAACTACAATGGTTGACTCACGGCCACTCTTGTGAAATCCACTTCTCTTGATTCCTATTAGTGCCCAGCAGGCTACACTGCCCAGCAAGTGACCACACAGCCTTGACTCCTGCTTTGGAACTCCCTAAGTCCTCCAGCATCCTGGGCTGACACAGCCACAAGGCTGGAGCAGCATGCCTCAGAGGCAGGGGCCGCGTGCAGGATGGGTGATGAAAAGGGGGCACAGGGAGTCCTTAGGTGACCTCAGACTTTGAGCCTGTATCAGAGAAAACACAGACTTGACCTGGGATGGCTCTGGAAGGTTTAGGGATTTGACCAGAAATTGACAAAATGCTGAGATTAAATTTAATTCAACCAACTTTTGTGAAGTGATTTCTACGTGCAAGGTTGGGGACATAAAGATGAATTAAAGATCCCATGGCTTGTAGGGCTCAGGTCTACAGTCTGAATATCCTGGAACTTCCCTACAAAGAGGACCAGTCAATACAAGAACCTAAAGGAAAGAGGGCAGAGGCCACTGCAGGAGGCTTCAGAAGGTAACAGGAACTCTGTTCTGGGTACAATTTCCACTGGGCTCTCCTGTGTCATCTCACTATGGTTCACTCTGAATGTGAGCACCTTTTGTGATTTCCACTTGCTAGTGGTAGGCTACCATCATCTTCTACAAGTGCTAGACTAGACTGACTACCTGCCCAACTATGGGAAAGGAAGAGCTTTGTGCCCCTTTTCTGGGGACGGAGCTGGGGGAGGGTGAGTGCATACAGGGGCATAGCTCCCTCTGACCGCACCATGTCATCTGATCAAGCCAACAATTTGTGTTTTACTCTTGGGTGCTGAGGCAGCACATTTCACAATGTTGGAAGAGACAGGAAAAGGTGAGCATGTTCCAGCCTTCGGGGATCTAAATACCAGAAAGGACTAGGACAATCACGAATAGCATCCTTTGAGAACAAAACCAGTAAAGGGAAACAGCAGAGTGTAGTACTTCCGATCCCCTCTCCTGGTGCCAAACAAGCCTGGGTTTGAGTACTGGCTCAGGCACTAATTAATCATGTGACCTTAAACCATTTGCCTAACTCTCTGAGCCTCAGCTCCATTTTGAAATTGAGAGCAGTAATATTTGAAAAGGAGGGAAATAATATTAGGTTGAATCATGGAATTATCAACTTTTAACCATTTTTTGACCTTCAAAAAATGGCAATTTCATAGGCACACTA